ATGTTCTTAAATTTTAGCGATAGAATTTTCAAATGCCGACTAAAGGATCAGAATCGTTTGCAGGTGATTCATAGATGACCATCAGTCTCAGTGTATTGTACCTAAATTGAGCCAAGTGTACCGAATTTATTTTTGGTGTAAAGAGGGCTGATAAGGTTGACTTGTGCTTACTTTTCCATCACTGGCTACTTAAAAAAAATTGCAGTGTAAATCTGAACGAATTTTTTTTTCTTATTTTAGAAATATGAAGACCTATCTAACGTTAATTTTTATCTATCATAGACCTCCAAACGATTGTGATATTCTAAGCAGTATTCAAAGTAAGATAAAGATACATTCGGTACACTTGGCTCTATTTAGGTACAACATATTTCTCCAAAACCGTTTCACGTCAATAATTTACATATATATTGCGCATTAAAGGAGACCGAATGTCATCTGTCAATCACCTACAAACGATTCTGCATCACTTAGTCGGCAATTCAACATTCTGTCATCAAAATTAAAAAAAACACAGGGGCTAACTTCCGTAAAAATGTTGAGCTTTTTTAATTTTCTTATTTTAGAAATAGGGAGATCTATCAAACGTTAATTTTTGTCTATCATAGACCTACAAACGATTGTGATATTCTAAGTAATATTCTAAGCAAGATAAAGATACATTCGGTACACTTGGCTCTTTTTAGGTACAACACATTTCTCCAAACACGTTTCAAGTCAATAATTTATATATAGTGAGCATTAAAGGAGACCGTATGTCATCTATCAATCACCTACAAACGATTCTGCATCACTTAGTCGGCAATTCAACATTCTATCGGCAAAATTAAAAAAACAGGGGTGGTAAAAATGTTGAGCTTCTTTAATTTTCTTATTTTAGAAATAGGGAGATCTATCAAACTTTAATTTTTGTCTATCATAGACCTACAAACGACCTACAAACGATTGTGATATTCTAAGTAATATTCTAAGTAAGATAAAGATACATTCGGTACACTTGGCTCTATTAAGGTACATCACATTTCTCCAAAACCGTTTCACGTCAATAATTTATATATTGAGCATTAAAGGAGACCCAATGTCATCGATCAATCACCTACAAACGATTCTGCATCACTTAGTCGGCAATTCAACATTCTATCGGCAAAATTCAAAAAAATGGGGGGCTAACTTCCGTAGAAATATTGAGTTTTTTTATTTTTCTTATTTTAGAAATAGGAAGATCTATCAAACGTTAATTTGTATCTATCATAGACCTACAAACGATTGCAATATTCTAAGTAATATTTTGCATTTAAAGAGTAGCTAACTTCTCGGTGCCC